CCCCCAAATAATACTGGTGCTTGGGGAATGGAATGTTATCTCGTTGGTGGTTTCAACCTACCCCTCTGAAAAATCATGGAGTTCGTCAATGAGAAGGATGACATCCCATATATGAAATGGAAAATAAAAGTCATGTTCCAGTCACCACCAACCAGTCATCATTGTTCATCATTTTCCTGGGTAAATCCACCTTTTTGGGGCCATCCCATCCCCAACCAGTGATTGGAATGGGATGATTGATAGCCACTGGATCATGCCCGAAAATTCGCACAAGATTTATTTGGATGCATCCCATGAGCCCACATGGTCGGTGATGCCCGAGTGCGTGCCGCGAGTGGTTGCTTATTTAAGTCTAGGTGAATTCGATGGTTTATGGTGTATATATATATACGGTACATATATATATATATACTATTCATATTTATTCATGGGGTTTGTAAATCAACAAAGAAATCTGGTGGCCACCACCTTGTATCAACAGTTCGACTATTAGTATTTTCTTGACGAAGGCTTCAACATGTAAAAACTTCATTGAGATTTCCAAACACTGTTCGGAATCCCAGTTCCGGCGTGCCGTGATGACGTATGAGAGGGTGCCGGCGGTGCCATATTTCTTCACATCATCCATGGTGATGTTGCCTGAAAAAAAGAGAATCACATGGCTAAGCCGTTCTTGGATTTATCGTAATTCTAAAGTAGATAGAATATCAAATGTTCAATCATATTGCCATTGATTTTGATGGTCTTTTGGAATATTCATATGTATATCATCATCATCATATATATATATACCAAATTCAACATATTCTATCTACTCCAGGATTACTAATTATAGATGTGTATTTTATATCTAGATTCCAGATACGTATATGTCACAGTCACTTAAAATCCTGAGGGTTTCAGTGGTGGTGCCCTCCAGTGACGTTTCTTGGTTTCTAACCCCCATTCAGCATCGATATCAAATGATATCTTCCCGAGAAAAACCATACAGGAGTTATACTGCCAACTTAGCCTCTGGTAATTTAACATAGCTATGGAAAATCACCATGTTTAATTGGTAAATAAACTATTTCTATGGCCATTTTCAATAGCTTTTTGTAGGTTTACCAGAGGGTAGCTTTCGTGGTTTGACCCACCACCTTCTTGGGTTTTTACCCGGTACCAGTGTCATTCAACATGGCGAAAAACAAATCTCCTGTAGGTGTTTTCTGTTACATGCAAATGTCATCTATAAAACATGGTCAATCTTTGATCCACAGAAAAATATGTTGCTGGTTATGGTTATTGTATGTTATTGTCCAGTCTATAGGGGATGAACAGAGGGGCTTTCCATCGTCCAAGACCTTCCAACAGAGGTCATGGCCATGGCAAAACAAGTTGTTTCTCCATTGTCTGTTGGTTATATTATCCACCATATTCCCTATCAATTCCAAGCCAAAATCCCACAGTATCAGGAATTTGGAGGTTTCCAACTTATGGGGATACTCCCATTTTTCATCCATTTTAGATTGCCCTAAAATGGGAATACTCCCAAATCATCCATAAGATTGGACCATTTTAGTATAACGAACCAAAACATGGTGACTGGGGGATCCCGGGATCCCTCCAAAACGGCTGCCATGGCTCCATAGGTGGAGGGCTGCCACACATTAAAGGCCTTGGTGAAAACCACCTTTTTTTTGTGGGGCCCCCGTTGACGATAGCGTTCAGTTGGTGCCAAGAACTCCAGGAACTCACTATGCTTTATAACTTTATGATACCTAAATCATCCTACATAACTATGGCATATTGTGGTTTATAAAACCAACATTAACATCTCAGTTTGTTGGCCCAACATTGGCACCTGCCTAAACATCATGAAATATCCCTGGGTGAAAGGTGCTGCTCCCCGGTGACATGTTGATTTTTGTTCACCCCATTGTATATGACTATAGTGACTATAGTCTATAACACAAAACCATAACTGGTTGGTGGTTTCAACCCCTCTGAAAAATACTAGTGATTTGGGGCTACTATTCCCAATATATGGAAAAACATGTTCCAAACCACCAACCAGATAAAGTTGCGTATATCTATGCATATCCACCGCAAACCGCAAAAAAGAAAACTGAGTGAAATGGTAGTGAGATGTTTGTGCGATCTATTAAAACCCTAGCGAAACGTTGATTATAAACTTGCTTAGATAACGTTTTGGGGCACCACATTGTGGATATGATATGCATGAAGTATGAACTATGCTGGAATTCTGGATCATGAGTGGTAAACCATCCAATTTTTGAGTTCCCATTTTTGACCCATGGCTTATACCAATATAAAAGCCGTCATGGTCATTAGAGTTCTTGGTGCGTTTGTGTGATAGTAATTTTCACAACATGGAAAACAAGACAAACAAGTAACTCCAAATTCAAAGTGCTTTGAATACTGAATTGAATACTCATTCAACTCATTTATATCATCTCAAACAACGAAATCAATCCATTCACCAACCATCACTGAGGTGTGCCATGCCAGCCATGCCAGCCATGCCAGCCATGCCAGCCATGCCAGCCATGCCACTTCCTTTTCCGTTTCCGTGCTGCGGCGAGCTGTACGAGTTCCTGCAACTGGGGAGGCATGAAACTGCAGTGGATTGCAATGAGGTAAACCACAGGGATCTCTTTTGAATTTATCAACAAAAGAACATCCCTCTGGTAATCAACATGTTTTGCTGGAACATCCCACCGTTTACTTCGATGATTTTCCCATTAAACAAATTAAACAAAATGTCATTTTAAGTGATTTTCCCCATATTTCCCCAAGATGTTCCAAGCTAGAAACCTCTATGGCTAGTTTGGGGATTTCCCATTTACCAACTGGTCCATTTGTTGGTCATGTTCCAGTCAATGTAAAAGTCATGTTCCAGTCACCACCAACCAGTATATAGTTGCATCTGGATTTCTACTGGGGATGACTAATCTGATGTACTTTTCACCGGATTTGTGGATATCTGATGATATCTGGATATATATTGAGCATCCCATGAAATGCTCCGTGGTCAAACATCGGCCTCGCTGCGCCAGCGCAACAGAAGCGCCCAGGGCTGCCCAGGTGCCCAAAACCTGGATGGCGATTTTCATGGCGATGTTCATGGGGATCTTATGGGTATTTTATGGCAATTTCTGTGGTTTTTTTCATGGAATTTCTGTAGGGTTTTTATGGCAATTTCTGTGGGATTCTGTGGGGATATCATGATTATCATGGGATTTTCTAGGATGTTGGCCGCGATCTGATAATGGTGGGAAAATGGGATATTTCATGAGATATATGAATTATGAGATGGAATTTGAGGAGATATATGATAAATCAGGATAACTATTTAACTATTATCCATGGAAATTCACTATATACTATTATATCAGATAAATATGTCAAAACTATATATGTATATATAATATATATGTTTTTAAAGTTTACCCGTGAAGTTTATTGAACTGTTTATAGCGGATGGAAACCAATAGTTATATCAATGGTTGTCCATTTGTACTGTTATATCGTATTGACTTTTATAATTTGTTCTAACCAATGGTTGAATTTGAACAAATGATAAATGGTTGATATAGCTGATCTGGGGATGGGTCAAAACAATGGTACCTAGTGAACCCCAAAATAGCTGGTAAATGGATGTTCATCCCACTAAACATGTATCTATAGGTATTGACCCATACCCATCTCGTTCTTCAATTTGTTTAAAAGGGTCCCTGGCGGCGACCCCGACCCCCCGACGAGCTTCCGGACGGAGCCATGGCATGGCGCCTCCGCTCCATTCGGCTGTGCATGGACCGCGTGGTGGGGACGGAGGTGGCCTGGCGAAGCCACGGGGAACGAAAAGGGAGGGGTTTAAGATGTATTTCACATGGCTTAACATGGCTTAACATGGCTTAACATGGCTTAACATGGCTTAACATGGTTGAATCTGGACCAAAACTTGAGATCTTCATTCTCTCTCTCTCTCTCTCTCTTTCTATATATATATATATAATCATATGAATAGCAGACATAATTACTTGTCCATTTCCATGCCATGTGAAAATTATGGTCGTCCCCCATCAGTCGTGAGGATTTCTGCGTTCTCAGACTTTGAGGCAACTCATGCAAAACAGGGGTATCAGTTATCAGTATACGGTTGTCCCCTATCAGGAGTGAAGGTTTTGCACACCAAATTAGTATTAATTACAATAATTTTGTCGGTTACTCATATTATATACTACACAATGATGTATATGAGAGGGTACACCATATTTTTCAGTAAACTCAGACGGATGACATGGTATGGTAGACCTGGTAGAGCAAACTTAATTGATATAGTTAAGCCACTACTGTAATCCATCAAAAGAGGCTTTACCATAAATTTGTCAGCTGGTTGGGACAAAACATGGGGATTTACTATAAGCATTAAGAAATACTTGGGATTGCACTCGTCGCGGTTGCAGTTTTTGCTGGATCTTGGTCAGTGAGCCAGTGGCTAAGCTCATAGAGGTATGAAACCCGTTGAAAATAACATGATGCTGATACAATTGGACGGAGCACTGGACTCTCAATCTCATAGATTCTCATAGTATATGTATGTATATATATATATATATCTAGATAAATTACAGTATTTCACTAACCTGAATCTTGCGGCCATTTGGGGATGATTTCCCTTTTTAACCATGATTTATAGCCCCCAACCATCCCTAACCCACCAAAAAAACCAGCTGGTTTTACTGGGGTAATCCTTCACCATTTTACCCAGCCCATTTCTGCCTGTGGTCTGCGTGCTCGGCGCCACGCCAGTGTGCACGCTGGGCATCATGAAAGCCTACACTGGAAATTCACATGGGGTGCAGTTGGGGTTCCTCATAGGTGTCACTATTGTAATCATCCACATAAGTTGGGATATAACCTTGTAAGTATGGTTAAATATGTCAAATTATCCAATCGGAATTTTGAACTGCACCCCCAGAAGTTATAACGAGCTAACCAACTTACTCTACTTATAGCTTGGGTTGTAACCCTCTTATGAAGTGGGATGACCCAGTCAAAACCTCAGTATATTGGGATGACTGCACGTATATTGTATACAGCACACACCATCACCAAAGCTGAGGTCACTCTAAATAATACCACACACAAAAAAACGATTTCCATTTTTGGCACCCATCTGGAACAGGGGGTCAGTCTTATGGAGCCATTGCCGAATGCGACCAGCCTAGGCAAAAGTAGAGAGGAAGAGGATGCAAGAGACCTTTTTTAAAAAGGGGATTCAACAAAACACATCAATGCATACAGGATCCATTATCGACTGAAGGAGCACAGCATAGTACTCCGAAGTCGTAGTACAAAAAGGTATGGCCGGACTCGCAAAAAAACATCAATCTGTATACTTTCAGTGATAAACCCACGAAATGACTTTGTCGGCCATTTTGATGCTTCCAGCAGTATCAGCCATCAATGGTTGGCCACATCAACCCACCCTTTGTCAAGTGGATTCATCACCCAAACAAGTTCCAAACAACGACGGAAAATGGAAAAACCCTCGATCTAAACTACCTACCGAGATGATTTCTGAGGCCTTGCTCTCTCTCTCTCTCTCACTCTAGATTCTTGGGGTCAATGATAGAGAACAAGGTTCAAGAAAAAATCCACAACTTTCCACAACTTCTCAGAAGGACCCCTGGGGCTGGGCCGTCACCGCCGTCACCTCCATTGCAAGTTCTCTTGGATCGGTCTCCGAGGACAACACCGCTGCTGATCGAACCAATGGCTCCGGCCGAGACGGCTGGGATGATGCGTCCCAACGGGCGCTGTTCACTGCAGGGATATTTCAACAACATGGGGGGCATATGCTTAGGATACTTAAAGGGGATATTTTTTCAGTAGATTGCCATATTTTAATATACTTTCAAGGTTTCCGAAGTCATCGGGGCAGCCCCAAATCATCCAGTCGTCATGGATGACAATCTTAGTATTGAATCATGCGGGTTTTGAGGATCCCCCATTTTCAGCGCATCGCCTTTTTTGTTATCCCAATGGCAGGTGTAACCAGAAGATTGAAACATGTTCTACAAGATTCTACAACCGATGATGGACTCAACTGGTTACCCTCTGGTAATGACTAACAGTTTGCTATTGAAAATGGCCATAGAAATAGTGGATTTACCCATGAAAAATGGTGATTTTCCATACTTAGGCATTGGAAAACAAGGGCCGCTGACCCAGCTGGCATGCCACCAAAAAAAAACCGGCAAGGCGCCGCTTCCATAGTTATCTTAGTTTAGGTAGTAATCTTTGTTGTTGCTTCTTGCGGTCCCCATTTTCATGGAATTTCAACCCCCTAAGGTGACCCTTCGTTTTTGGGTTTCCTGAGCCTCGTCCTGAGCATTTAAGAAACCCTCTAAAAATGGGACAGTCACCGCCTTCCACGCATCTTGTTTCACATCCACATTTGGCTTCGAAGTTTGAAGCTATCCCAACAAAAATCCTATGAAGGATCATCATTGTCACTTTTCAATGGCCATCAAGGGGAGTAAATTCCACATGTTCAGATACACACCCAACTTGTATTAATTAGTTGGTTATCTCAGTTATCTCCGTTTATATCCACAGGACTGCTGGCTATATCACCATGTTCCATCATTTTCCAATAAGTCATCATTATATCCTCCTTTATATATATATAAACATATTGTAATATGTGTATATATATATATATATACACATATATCCCTTTCACAGGCCCCCCCAGGCCCAAGTCATGACATTTTCCACACCTCTCATCCTCACGAGGAACCGGTCGATGACCTGCGAGGGTGGGCCATGTGACCTATCTGACAGGTTTGGAAGATAATTTCAGGCCTGGGGTCAGGACCCAAAGTCCGCATCCCCTTGAACTGGACATAGGATTAACATTCGACAAACTCATCCTGGCAAATCATAAATGTGATTATTCATAATTCATAATTCATAATCCTATTGGGCCTATTGGAATAATGATTAATGTCAATAATGCCAATAGTAATTTATAAATCAAATCAGTTGGCAAATAATACCCTCTGGTCATTTAACATAGCCATGGAAAATGGCCCATTTATAGATGGTTTACCTATAAAACATGGTGATTTTCCATGGCTATGTTAAATAACCAGAGGGTAAATCATAATGATGTTCATAATTCACCAACTGAAGAGAAACAGGCCATCTGGGGATGCTTAAAAGCACGCATGGCATTCAGCATCTGCGTTGTGAAGTTGAAGCAGCTTGCAACATAATTCACCCAGAAACCACAAATAAGGATGATGCGATTGAATAAGCGATTCATGGTTAGGATCATTGGGATACGTATATTGATGTATACTGGTTGGTGGTATACCTACCCCTCTGAAAAATATGAGTTCGTCAGTTGGGATGATTATTCCCAATATATATATATATATATGGAAAAATAAAACATGTTCCAAACCACCAACCATTATGTATGTTTATGTATATATATATATACATACATACATATACTAGTGGAAATACGATGCTTCATTAAGTTGAACATATCCGAAACCTGCGGCTATGTGGGTGATTCCCCTTCTACTTACCATCATTCCAGTGACATCACAGTGAGGTCATTTTTTTTTGAAATTCCCCCAGACATATGTCATCAGTACATTAACTTATATATATATAAATCTTCTGGGCAAATTATAATAATTCACGAACCTGAATCTTGCGGCCATTTGGGGATGATTCCCCTTACTAAATATGATTATAGTGAGGGAGAACAGTGAGGTCGTTATGAAATTTACCCATATATATATAAATCTATACAACTCAACTATGGTATTTATATTAACATGGGAAATCTGGTCGTTATATTCATGTTGTATCACCATATTTCCCATGTCATTATACCTTGATGGACTTCCCAGAGAATCAGTACCATAAATCCCAGATCAGATGATTAGATGATATGAATTGAATATATTGGAATGTTCTGAATATGATGCTGGAAAACTATGGTGATACAATATGAAATATATTGGAATATATTGGATAATTATTCGATGATACATGTAAATGGAATAACTAATGTACAATACATCCCAATACATTCCGGTTCTTTCTTGAAGACCCCGATGCACTCCGACCGCACGTTTCACCGCAACAGTTTCACCGCTGTGGAGCTTTGCCGCAACCTTCACCCTGTTGGTTTCGCGTTCGTCGAGGTCCTGGGCGTAGAACTTTGACCCCATCCAAGGATATACCCACCTTTAAGCCCACCATTAATCAACTCGATATTTAAAAGATGTAAAAGAACAACCACTGATGTAGTCTATAATAGATGTCAAACTCGTTCTTATAAACAAGCGACTTATATATTGTGGTCCCACAATGTTATATATATATATAATATACATATTAGATACTTATATACATGTGATTACGTCGTCGCTTCGTTGATCAGTCTTTTGAATGTTCCAACGGCTGCGTCCGTTACGGACACCTGTTGAACGGACAGCCTTCGCTCGGGAGTTGTTCACTCCAGTGATTTCACTGGATTTAAGTGGAGATCTGGGGTAGAAATCATCATGATATACTGGTAGTTAAAGTTGGTTTATAAACCATAAGTAGTTCGAAATATTACTACCATAAAGCATAGTTATTATGTTAAATTGACCATCTTGTTAATAATGGTTAATATATGGTTAATATATAGTTATTATATGGTTAATGATGGTTAATAATCTGGTTGGTGGTGCCATAACCATCTTGAAAAATATGAGTTCGTCAATGGGGTTGGGATCAGTATATAGTTGCATCTGGATTCCTACTGGTGATGACTAATCTGATGTACTTTTCACCGGATTTGTGGATATCTGATGATATCTGGATATATAGTCATGCCCAGATGGAAGGTGGCAAATCAACATCAAATTAGTTGCTGGTTGGTTCCAGCTTGTCAAAAAATGAACTTCCTGTGACTTTGTGTGAATTACCATCCGGTAATCAAACGTGGCAATGGAAAATCAACCATTATTTTCCCATGAAAACATATGGGATGTCCCAGTGCCACGTATGACAGGAAGGTACCAAGAAATCAAAAAACATGTGGCTGGGGAGGAAAAACAGCCACCGTAGGCTCACTGTACCTTTTTTTTTGTTTTGTTTGGCCATGTAGAGAAAATTCATATTTTTTGTCAAAGCCAAAGAATGCCATGAATTGGTTCACCACCGGGTAGTAACAACGACCAGGTGTATAGTATGCCTTTTTGGTTGTACAGCCCATGATATTGAACTAGATTCCTTTGTATCGCTTATCTATGTCCCGCGGTCCTGTTTGTTGGTTTATAAGCTTAGTGTATATCTATACATCTATCTATACATACATAATAAGTGTATATATATATATGATATTATATATACGACCACATTATATTATATACCATATACTGTGCATGGAAGAAATCCTGCATCATTTGGGAACTATTGGTACCTATGAAACATCATAGAAATAACGTGATAAACATGGATTTTTACCATCTACAAACTGGTGCAGGAGTTCTTCCACAGTATCTTGGCTACTTCGAAATCAACTCAGCTTTGGCATCGCCAAGCTACCAAGCACCGAAGCCCACACGTGCCAGCCGCACTTTGGGCTCTGCTGGAACCTCCGGTCCGGAGCCTGGAAAGCCATGAGGTTTCAATGTGGGGATCCCCAAAAACATGGCTGTCAATACCAAACAAAATGGGTTTCGTTCGTCATGGGATAAAATCATCGTGGATGTCTTGAGTCTTGCAACGGTCATGGAATGTCATGGATAGATCTGACTGGAATGACTTGGTTGGATGAGGACTTACATTTGGGTACCCGGTATGGATTGGAAGCTTCATATTTTTCATGATATTTTTCATGGGGAGTCGATGGGCAATTGAGAAACAAAGACGACTATTGGATATCATATGAGAAAATGATACAAAAGGAACCTATTTTGTGGTAAAGTGCACATCTATCCAAATGCGTCAAATGTTTCTATATTGCATACATTTGCATACGATCTTTGCTTTGAAGAATCCTTGTCTATGAGTCTAGAAAGGTTTCCACTTTTCACATGCCTTCATTCTCTTTTCATCTTGTCTTCTCCGTGACCCGTGTTGACAAGACGGAGCTTGAGTCATAAGCTGCCTTCGCCTCACGTCTCTGAACCAACTCCCAGGGAGAAACCGGAAATCGCAACCCATGGGGTCGTCCAATTTTTTTAATGGCCATTCCATGTTCCGATCACATTCGATCACCCAATAGGGGACTCCAGGATCAACAGATCCAGGTTGGGTGGTGCATGTCTGTGCAATTGCCTCTGTCATCCGGTTCCACTGGTTAGTTCATAGGGTTTCCTATATTGGATTGCACTTATCCATATTAAACCAGTTGGTACAATCCCGATCGTACAAAGCGGGGGCCCCCAGATAGCTAAGTTGGTGTTCAACTAATCAACTAGTTAAATAACAAACTAACTATCCAAAATATATAACATTTTAAAAAACCTATTAATGTTCCAATGATATCCCTGTAATTTGCTCATGACATCCCCATAATATTCCAATGGTTTCCCTGTAATTTTCTCATGACTTACCCATAGTATTCCAATGATTTCTCTATATCTTTCTCATATCCCTACAATTTTCACTGTGAGGAACCACCGTTGTTCAGTCACCTCCGGCCACCCTTCCCTTACAGTCGCGTCGCCGCCAGCGCGTCGCGAGTGCACGGCAGCACAGGAGATGGCCGCCAGGGCATAGTCTGTGATGGGTAGTTGGACCCTGTCCTGCTCCTGCCGGCTCTTGGATGGTAATAATCAGTGGCAATAATAATTCATAGATATAAACAATGATAATAGATATAACATGATATAATACATAATAGATATTATCATGTTATAATGTAATCATGTTATAATGTAATCAGCGGTAATAACAACAATACATAATGATAATGGTCATTAATAGATATAAATAGGGTATCCGATTCTGGATGATCTTCCTTTAAATTTCAAAGATTCAATGGGTTAGTTAAAGGGAACATCTACAGGAAACCATGGTCTTTACCGTCTTTACCCGGATTTTTTCCAATCCAATGATTGCATGGGATAGAAAAAAAAGGGCTCCCCCAAATGCAGGTGGAGGTACTATAAGGCCTATAGGTTCCTGAAATGGCCATTGATGTACACTATGTTTAGACAAATTCATAGAGTTCTGGGTGTATTTCATGGGACAGGTAGTGGAAATCAATGTTGATGAAGTTGATTAGGTACCAGTTCGCCTTGGGGATAAACAACTGTTGGATAAGGTGCCCGCAATGCGTGATTCACTGATCACCAGTATCTCACTGGCCCCCCAGTTAGAAGTTTGTTTATAAAACCAATAAATAACTCTAGTTACTGTGTAAGTTATAAGTATCATAAACCATATTTATTGGAGTTCTAAGCCGGGGGGGCCTATTCAAACCTAAACACATCCAGGGAAATCCAAGCTGTGCTTGGGCATTACACCATTAGTTGTTTATGCTGCTACGTTGCAATAGGGTTGCTTTTATTGTGCACCTGCTTGTGCACATACATGGGCATGACCCCACTAGTTTCTTCTGCTGCTACATTGCTACATAAAGGATGCTGTTAGATCTGTTAGCTTCTACTTGCTTGGGATGCTGCTACTTTGCCATAGGCTTGCTGCTACGTTACTCGGTGTTTCCGCTGCTACGTTGCGATAGTGTTGCTGTTGCGTTACTTGCTTGAAGCAGTGGGATAAGTCAGATTCACTAGCATGATTTTCAACTTGCCATGAACAAAGTGAAGTTCGGGATATGTTCAAAGTGTTCAAATGTGAAAAAAATCAGGACGAAGAAAACAAAGTCTGCAGTGAAACGACATTGTTCCTGAAGATAGCCTGAAAACAACACGGGGGTCGGGCACCGTGTTGGTTTCCCTTCTGGTGATTGGTACTGCTTAGCTCCAACGAAATATAGGAAAAAATCCCATTAACTCAACTCAAATAATTCGATAACTGACCAGCCCTACCTATCCTGATTGTATTTGTTTCTCCCCTAGAATCCCCATGGATAGACTCATCACCAAGTAAATCACATAGTGATTTAAACACCGGAATCATGTTCACGGCTGATTCATGGGTCCCAAAAAAAGTGATGATCTATGATTTTTGTTCATGAATCATGGTATATTCACATCCCAAAATTCCAGCAACCAGGGTTTCTCAATCCGGATGAACATTAATTACTTAACTCTAGTTCCATCCTGTTCAAACATGATAAACATGGCTATGGATCAATAATGATCAATACTTATTAGAGAACATCCATGAATCCCAGCTATTTCAATGGTCCTTAAAGACCCATGCCCACGAAGATTGAAACCTGGTAGTCACTGGGGCCGCACAGTCGCCTTCGTGAAGACTGGCCAAGTCTTTTTCGTGGGCACCACACCTTCTCCCACCTGGGCAAAACACATTCTTGGCACTATGTTGCTGCAAGTTTCCGCTGATCGTTGAATTAACCATAGTGATGTATATATAATATATAGACCATATATATATATATATATGGGAAATATATGGGTATAATTACATATAATATATATATATATATCAAACATGATCAAACTACATGAAATTTATAAACCAACAGCGATGGAACTGGGCACCACCTTCTGGGAGTGCGAGGGTCCTGGAATCCCAGATTTCAAAGTCAAGTGAGCAGTGGCACTTCAAAGTACTTCAATCTTGACTGGTTGGTGGTTTCAACCCCTCTCTCAGTTGGGGTTATTATTCCCTATATGGACAAATAAAATTCATATTCCAAACCACCAACCAGTTGAGATATGGACTAAGAGGCTTCCTTAGGGCATGATTTTATGGGCTTGAAACCAACCTCGGAGCTTGACTACCTGGAACTTTTAAGATACAGCACGGAAACCCTTGATTCCACAAGAAGTAAGTGAGGATTTTCATATCTTCGCGGGTACTACTGAAGGAAAACGCTTGTATACATATGTGTAAAATTGTGCAAAGTCTTCCGCTGGACCCTTCGGAAGCTTCAGCCTTCTAGGCAGCTGGTTTCCCCTGACAATTTAAGATCAAAAATCTAAGTACTAACATATGAATCATAGTTATTATTCATATAATTCATACTGTGTTTCGTAGAAAATGATAATTTAATTATAATAATTATACGGTGAAAAATCATAACTCACTATAATTCACTCACTCTTTGGGATGATTCGCCGAGTCCAATTTTCACGTATTTCCATCATTCCAGTGAGGTTACGGCAGGTCATGATCAAATTCATCCAGAAGTATATGCAGTTGGCTATTCAAACATCACCCACTGGTCATATGACATAGCTATGAATTATGTCTTTCCATTTATAGATAAGATAGCCCATAAAACGTCCATTTCGTTCGGGTATTTTCTACGTTGAGCCCAGACACATATGCTGAGAGCATCCGCTCACGTTCCGTCGTCGTGTCAGCCATGGTGGCGGCAAGGCTACCCCAGGGACTGCTGATTTTGAACTTGATTAGGATTAAGCATCCAATTTCAACCCAATTTTGCCCCATACAAATATGACCTTAATTGAAGATGTTGGTGCGTCCACTCGAAATCCTCGGTTTTCAATGGTTTTCGCATTCAACATACATAATTTTCGGGGATTGGGTTTGTGCAGGGTTCTGCATGAAAAAACAAAACATACCTGTATCTCTTGAACCACGCTTCCTGCCTTTGGATTTCAGCGGACAAGATCAGATTTGTTTCATCTCATACCTTCAATATCCCTTCGACACTTTCGCAGCACCGCCCAGAAATCCTGGCTATCACCGGGCTTCTCTCCCCGCTGGCGCCTTTTCTGGGGTCGAGAGGTCGAGCACAGGCAATCGAGCTAAATGCTGATTCCAGGTGGTAAAGTGTGGCTGAGACTGACAGAGATTTTTGCTGTAAAAAAACAAAAGTATATACATCCTTTTTTAAGTTGCATCTCCGCATCATATAGATGATATTTCCTTCTCCACATCTAGTCATGGCATGTTATGGCTATGAAGCTGGGTGTCTCGTTCGTCACCGTTAGTCATTGTTTGTTCCCATTTTTTGATACCACAGCCTGTTGGATGAAAAAACCGTTCAACTGGGGATCCAGTGATCAATCCCAGCCGTTGAAAGATGGTTCCTATCGGGGTACCCCCTTGCATCATCCATTTATCGGGGTAAATTATTGTAATTGACTAACCTGAATTAAGGCCATTTTGGGATGATTCCCCTTATAAACCATGATTCCCAGTGAGGTCGAACAGTGAGGTCATTATAATTTACCCTGATTTATAGATTGGGATTTTCCATGAACCATCCAGCGATAAAGGGGTACCATGGGGTACCCGCATCATTATGGAAACCTCCATTTTACAACAGAAGGGTACCAGGGTGAATTGACATGTTTTGATCCTTCTCGATCCTGGAAGATGAAAAAAATCTGGGAGCACTGGGGGTGCAGTTCCACGTGGCATTTTTCTTGGTAAAAATGACATTTTTTTAGGGGATTCAATTCCCAACTTATGGGGGCCCAAGTGTCGTGGCACAGATACCTCTTTGCCGGGATCCTCCCCAAGGGGTCAGAGTCTGCTGAAGTCATGTCATCCTGTGTCCCGGTTTGTGATCAAAACAACTGTAAGTACCACAGAAATTTGTTGATTTACAGATCAAGAAAAAATGTAAAAACTGACCCAACATTGCCCTGAGCCTTGTCTCATGATTTTCACGTTCACCACAGTTCATCCATAAGACAACGATCCGAGATGTCACAGTCACCTTTACCATCCTCCACGCATTACTGCAGCAACTTGCCACATACAAAGGTCAAATTTCACCTGTTGAGTAATTGAATCTGCTTGGTTGGTGGTTGGTGGCTGTTGATCCACACCATTTTTCAAAAGAACAGGAAATCATTCGGGTCACATGATCCATTTTGAGGAAACTGAAGCATTTCGTTGTGTCAACCACCAACCGGTTAAACTGGTGCATGTCAAGGATTGTAAATTGTAAGGAACATGTCATGCAAATTCAGGTCATGCAAACATCCAGAAAAAACATGAAAAAACGATATCAGTTCAGGTCAGAGATCAAATTTGTTTCCGCCAGATGTTACTTTTTCAGACAACGAGTTGGTAGATTTCAGTTCGACCCAAGTCCCGGGTACCTACCAGCCAACCGGGTTTCCGCCCTAAAAGTTGTGTCCCAAATTGAGGAGGATCCTGATCGGTCATAGATACAGGAACATGTTGTGATAAGTAACACCCAGAAACGTGTTTACAATTAAAGTATGTAAAAGTATATAAGTAAAACACACACACACACAGTTACCTCAAAATTCAGGTGTCCAATTCTTGTTCTAGTTATTTTGGAGTTGCTATAATTATTGTCCAGTCCCTTCTTCGACAAGTCATGGGGCACCCCAGGTAGTCATTGCAATGCTCTGCGAGCCCCGATTTTCGGAAACCCATTCCACGCGTGAAGAAATGTATGTAGACATATCATGACATATCTAGACAAACAACAGGGTAACTCTGGCAACGACTCCAAGTATAACAACCTTCAAAACATTGAGTAGAAAAAACATCAGCGCTAGAAATCGAACGGACATTTCTGCTGTTCCCTAGCTGTTCTACTCAGCTTCGAAAGGCAAAATACATTTTTTGTGGCAGGCCGCATGACAACTACTCTTGGTGCCACTCTGTCAACGCCAGTGATAAAAACCATGGACACCTTAGAGTTTATATTTCAAAGGACATCTTTTACTGATGATGCCCTCCATTTTGCAAGTGCGTTACAACAAACTTCAAGTATCTTAAAGTCTATGTACCACTGCTAGTGCCACAATCTATAGATGTGAAGTCATTCGTTCTGTCCTCAGACTTACAACCAAACCGGTCCGTTCAGAAGTTCAGAGCCCTTGCCGTATTTTGGACGCGTGGATACGTTTGCAACTCGAAGAAAACCAAACAATTGGACAATCATGCACCAACCCGAAAATTCCCCAAATTGGCCATCATTCCAGTGTTGTGGCAGTGCGGCCATGATCATTTACAGTATTATAACTAATGAAATCCATGGTTTCCAAGTGGCACCACTGCTATAAGTCATGTCCGAACCAGCAAAGTGTGCAATCCGGAGGTGGGAAAACCATAGAAAACATACGACTGATTGGTGGCTTCTATTTTTCTCTGTCGATCCTCAAAATATGAAAGTCGTTTTGAATCCCGGATCAGTCAAGTTGTGGCCTATCATGCAGGATACCCTTTCCAATTTTCAGCTACCGTACATCTATACTCTTGGGACTCTTGGGGGTTTTCCTGTGATTGGATCAATCAAGGTTCAGACACCGGGGCCATAAAGAAGATATATCACGATCACCTTGTTCTTGCCAGACACTCTTGGCTCTTGGCAAACACTGCTGGTTCCAGGGTCGAGGGACGCAAAACTCGTGGCGTCCTCGAAAAAGAGTGTGTACATCATCGTGGCCGCAAGAACCTTCAATCACTCAGTTCATTTGTAGATTTTCCCGGCAGAGTTCATCAAGCAATAATCAACAGTAAACAACATCTTCCACAACCCCCAATAGCAGCTGCTCAGCAGATCTTAGGGGGCCCAGTGGCTCCAATATGGCCCAATCATGTCCAATCCCTGATCCCAACTCATCCGCATGACAGCGAAGAATCTGCCACTATGAATATCTGATTGGTGGTCTTAACCATCTTGAAAAATATGAAAGTCAATGGGAAGGATTATCCCATATATATATATTATGGAATTACTTCACTTCGAATGATCCCCACCATGACATTTATACATTTTCACATTTTCAATACATTTTCTTACTGGCAAATCTTCTGGCATTCTATCTGACATATCTTCTGGCATTCTATCTGGCATATCTTCTGGCATTCTATCTGGCAAATATTCTGGCATTCTATCTGGCATGTCTTCTGGCATTCTATCTGACATTTTATCTGGCATATCTTCTGACATTTTTTCTGGCATTCCATCTGGCATATCTTCTGACATTCTATCTGACATATCTTCTGACATTCTTTCTGACATATCTTCTGACATTCTGTCTGGCATATCTTCTGACATTCTATCTGACATATCTTCTGACATTCTTTCTGGCATATCTTCTGACATTCTGTCTGGCATATCTTCTGACATTTCTTTCTGACATTCTTTCTGGCATTCTATCTGGCATATCTTCTGACATTCTATCTAACATCTTTTCTTCCCGTTGAGGTCCAGCAGTGCCCACTGCGATCTGGAAGTCGCGGTTGAGGTCCGGCAGTGCCCACTGGGATCTGGAGCTCGCGGTTGAGGTCCGGCAGTGCCCACTGGCCCACTGGGATCTGGAGCTCGCGGTTGAAGTCCGGCAGTGCCCACTGGGATCTGGAGCTCGCGGTTGAGGTCCGGCAGTGCCCACTGCGATCTGCAACTCGCGGTTGAGGTCCGGCAGTGCCCACTGGGATCTGGAGCTCGCGGTGGAGGTCCGGCTGTGCCCACTGGGATCTGGACTGCGAGGGGAAGGAGGACGAGGAGGAGGAGGAGGATGCGGAGGCGGAGGAGGAGGAGAACAGCTCTGATAAAATCTAACAACCCTCACCTGGCAGGTGGGGAAAAAACATGCTTGAAACCACCAACCAGATAAAAAGAACGGTTTTTTGCCTACAAGTACTGGTTGGTGGTTTCAATCCCTCTGAAAAATATGAAAGTCAGTTGGGCAATATGTGGAAAAATAAAATTCATGTTCCAGACCACCAACCAAATATAGAAAAAAAACTGAAACTTGACAGGATAACAACCAGCAGAAAATGTACAACTAAGGAATTGTTCATGGCTGAAAGTAGATGACACCAAATCCAAGGGGGCCGATGTTTTGTTGGACCGTTGAAGCGATCAGAAACCTGTGAAATTGGATCCTAAAAAGGGTCAAATTGGGAAAACCTGTTCTTACCATCATACAGTTACAGCCCTTTTTTCCCACTCATTCTTACAAATGGGGTGGTCATTCCATATTTTTGTTCACTGATATCCATAAACGGTATTTCGAGCCATAACTGTGATAAACCTGACAAGTTGGGATTCTACCAGACTATGGTTTATACTGTTCTATAGGTAACCACTGTGAAAAAAAAGAGGCCGCGAAGTCTGAACGAAGCATGGCCATGCGCCAGGTTCGGCAGGTCAAGATCAAAGGTTCCCACGATTACCGCCCAATTCGTGGCGAATTTGCCTGGCGAAAAAACGCCGTCATTTCACAGTCGAAAAACTCCTGCAGCATGGCTGATCTTGGATACCCTGCAAAGTTTACGTTAGTGTTTTAAAGATGGTAAATATATGTATTGTATTGATATATATATATATATTGTGATTATATTATGTAAGTATGTATGATATTACATTTTTCTGTGTGATATACAACATAATTATTGAATATTAGGTATTATACGGTATTATATCATATTATATCTG